TTCTGCTGTCAGCCCGTTGCAATATGTTGTTTTGGTTGGAGTAGATGGAGAAAATCTGGCCTCACACAGTTTATGTACTTGGAAAAGGAAGGAGCATTTTATGACCCTTTCAGATAGTTGTGGATGTTTTTCTTTGATATAACACCAAAACTCAACAAATGGTAGTTTCCTAAAGGTTAATAGCGGTGTAGAATCTGAAACCATATCAGTGTACTCTGTTAAATTAAAAATTCATTGGCTTTCATGCACTTTGAATGAGTGTTTTACCCATGCATGATTTTATAATTTCATGCATCGGTCATTTGGAAAATATTCTTTCTCTTATGCAGATTTTGTATGTGTTGACTCATTTTACAATAATGAAAATATTCCATTGATCTTTAAGTGTTGGGAAGCTCTCAAGCTCACAATGATAGGTATAGCTTTTCCAGAATTGAAATCTTGCTTTAAAGCTTGCATTTTATTATTGGCAAGAAATATTGTCAGTTGTTTTTCCTGAAGTAACAGGCTCCCTTTTTTTATTTGCAGGACAGTATCTGCCAAATACGCAAGTCTAAATAACCATAGTTTGTCTGTTGGTAGTTCAAATAAGAATCGTGTTTTTATTATTTACTGCTACTGTAAAAAAGTATCCCAATTTGGTGTCTCCTAACAACACAAATTTATTATCTTACAGTTCCTTCGGTTAGAAATTCAACATGGGGCTCACTGGCCAAAATCAAGGTGTTGGCCGGGCTGTGTTCCTTTCCAGAGGCTCTAGGGGAGAATCTGTGTCCGAGCCTTTCCCAGCTTCTAGAGGCCACCCACGTTCCTCGGCTCACGGCACCTTCCTCCATGTTCAAAGCCAGCAATGTCGCGTCCCTCTGACCTTGCCTCCATTGTCACATCCTTCCTGATCACTGTTTTCTGCCTCCCCCTTTTGAGGACCTTGATGTCATTGGGCTCACCTGGATTACCCAGGACACACTCCCTATCTGCCGATTAGCAGTCTTAGTCACATCTGTCCCCTTGGTTCCCCTTTGCCCTGTAACATTACATTTTCAGAGGATCCAGGGATTAGGACGTAGATATCTTTAGGGCTGGGGGTCCATGATGGTGATGGTGATTATTCTGCCTACCACAATCTTCTATGAAAAAAACTAGTTCATCTTGCAACTCAGTTGAACAAATGCTTTTCCTTGCGGTATCTATCATAAATAATAGACAACAAATGCTTCATGCATACTCCCCATTTTATCACATAGATTATTAAAAAGCATATACTCGAGTGTCTAGATTTAATAAAAATTAGTACTTTATTGCTTTATCAAGGACATTCTTAATTGGATTTTTATTTGGGAAGCAGGTACATATACTGCAGTGAAAAAGAATGCAATGAGTACTGGTTCAATTTGGTGCCACAGTTTCGATTCATGCTAAGGTGCGAGCAGTTTGACTCACATCGGCGCACATGTCAGTGGAAAATGCCAAATGGCCTCTTAAATGTTACTATGAAGATAGTTTTGACGTCATGCTCCCTGCCCCGAAAAGGATCTCAAGAGTTCACAATTCACACCTTGAGAACTGTTGCACAATGAAATATCTCATTGTGACCATTTAAAATTTCTAGATTAAATTAGACAATGTTAAAGGTTTTATAAGGATATAAGAACTGGGCTGTTCTCGTGGTCTGTGCTGCCCCAGTGGCCTTCCTTGGGCATGACACCAGGGAAGATGGGGTGAAATGCAAGACTTCTTAAGAGGTCTCTGAGAACTTGACTGTTCAAATCTGTTTCTCCTGGTAAAGGGATCTGACTTTATCATCCATCTTTCCAGGAACTCAGGGGCGTGTAAGTCAGATTACAGTTTCTGTTTCTTTGATTCAGTGTTAAAGTGCTTACTCTGTGAGAGGAAGAGCAAATTTATGTACTGTTGGTTCGCAGCTGTGGGCCCACATCAGTTTTGGTAGGTGTTGAAAGATACTTTACTTTGTTGGGATTCATGACCTTCATCTTAAGTATAGCCTTTGTCCTGTCGGAGTGACCATCATCACTTTTTATAAATGCAAACGTTCGTTGAGTGCCCAAACGCTTCCATCAGTGCTCCATGTGAAGTTTATGTGCAAGCATGGAATTATAGAAACATTGTTAAATGACCCAGAGATTATCCAAAGCAAAATCCTAAACTTTGGATCAACCCAGCCTGTTCCCAGCATGGCTTCTAGTGTCATTGTAACTCTACTTTGAACATTATATTAAAGTATTGTATATTCGTATACATAAACCCACACAGATATGTTTGTGTTTCTCAAAGAAAAAACACTATTTTATGTAACTTCGTAACAATCCAGAATCTTCAAACCATAGCTTTAACTCCATTTACATTTGCTCCTTCCCTTGGATTGTTCCTTATTACTTTTACATAACTCCTCCTTAACAACTTCTCGTTCTGGCAAGGAACGTGATTTCTAACTAGAATCTAAGGATTCTAGGGGCCTGAGTTCAGAGAATGCCACCTACCTTTGATTTAATTGGAGTAGAAATCAAGTGTACAGTCATATTGTCACCTTTGAGGATAGAGCAGATGACACTTGGCACAGTTTCAAACCAGAGGAAATTTAACATTCTGATGAGTTTCCTAATCCTCTTAAAAGGAGCATTCCCTTCATAGCCGGCAAACCCGGTTTGTTCCATCTGCAGGTGGAACTCACTAGCATATGAGAAATCAGTCAAAAGAAGGGGCACATTGTCCTTGGATTCTGCTTGTCCAGTGCAGGGGGAAGTTTTCTTATCTTCTTTCTGAAGCAAACTTTTTTTTTTAATATAAATGAATCCTCTTGAATGTTGCACAGTGAAATCTTTGGCTTTTATCTAAGAAGTTTTGAATTGGCACCCACAAATTCAGTGTCACTGCAGTGCTTTCCATTGATCAGGGTGCTTTTGTTTTGCATGTGAAGGCTGATCTGCAAGGCCCAGCCAGACAACATATAACTTAAAGCCCTTCCTTTCTCCAGATTGCTTTATCTCTTTGTTAATTCTCCCTGGAAGGGGGAGTCAGATAATGACCAGTCCTGGGATTTGGCTGTATTGAGGCCCTCTTTTGTAATAGACACAGAGACTACCACTACCTTTTTATTTGCTGTGACATAAGAGGGCACTCAGCTCACTTCTAAAGCCAAGGTGAAACCTGTACCTTGGGAGTGTTCCCCTCCAAGCACTAGCCACATGCAGGCATTAGAAGCAAGCCAGCTGAGAAGTGTGCAGCAAGTTTTACCCTCATTTTTGTTTTGTTTTGTTTTTCCTTAGAGTGGTATATAAAAATGAACTAAGTCTCAAATGTATTCCTGTTAATAATTAAAATGAAGTAGCAGTAACAATAATGTCAGATTGTATGCTATTTTAAAAATATTCCGGTATCAGTATATCCAGTTATTTGCAAGTTTCAGACTTGGAACTTTACGTTCCACCCACTGGAGCAGGTAAAATAGAGTCCATTCTGTGGGGTTACAGTACTTCAGGAGCTCTGCTCTCTGTGGCTGTTGAGCTTTCTTGTCAACTGAGCAGGGTGCAGTGTAAGCAAAGGCTTTCCCCCCGGTGCCATTTTCTGTTCTCTCTGTTCTGAACCATCTGGTTTGGGAAGTTAACAAAGGTAGTTCAGGTTCACAGTCCCTTCGTGTAAAATGGCAGGGGTTGGGTGTGTTTCAAAATCCAGAAATTGTCAGATTTTAGAAGGGTAATAAAATGCATATGCCTTTATAGTAATATTCCGAGTGGAATCTAGGGCTGTACCCCACAATCAAACACATTAATATTTATGCAGGGGAAATATGAATATTCACACAAAGAGGAATACATTTAAAGTACTAATGTCAGCCCCATATCAAGTTTTGCTGCCAAATGTGTTTGCTTAAATTTGGTTTTTACCTTTCAACTTCAGAATTGCAAATAAGAGGTTGTAGACGTACAGTGCAGAGATAGAGTAGAGCAAGACGAGCCTGGTGAGTCCTGGTGACATTTGATGGAGCCAAGTCCCAGGACGGACGGCTTGTGACCTGGTGTCTCTCTTACTGGACTCGTTACTTTCTGTTCCATCCTCTGATCTGCTCTTTGCTTCTCTGTCAAACAGGGGTGATGTTTGCCATGTGGGCTGTTATGAGGATAAGAAGTTAACATAGTGTTTGGCATGTAGTAGGTGTTCAATAAATGTTGGCTATTAAAATTTCACCTCTTCCCTTCCCCCTTTTCTTTTATTAGATCAAACCTTACTGATGCAGGGGTTGCAGTGCCACTCTAGAAATAGGATTACGTGATAAGAATTGTCCTCATGTCACTGGAGAATTTAGTCTAAATTTTTATGTCAAAAACTCATTTCTTGTTAAATGACCAGTACCACCTTAAAAGTTTTTGTAAAATGATGAATAAAGGTTTTGATTACTGTTATATCATATGTAAATCTCTTGAATGCTTCATTTTAACTGTATTTGAGAAAGAAATATATTTAATATCTTGGGAAAAATGGTATTGAGAGATCTTTTATAGTTTTACAAAAATTTGTTTGCAAAAGTATTAATGAGCTTTTTTGTGCAAAACAACTTATTTTAAAGTATGCTTTATAAAATGAATCTCTGCTTTTAGATTCATAAAGGCCTCCCTTTTTAAAATGGAGAGATCCCGGAAAAAGAATTGCCTTTCATTATCAGGCTATTTTTTTTTATAGTCTCATTTTGTACTTTGTAATCAGTTAAGATTATATAGTATCAACATTGTTCTAATGATGCATGATCTTGACATACAGAAAATTTTAATTTATTTTTCTGGCCTTTTCTCTTAATTCATGAATAATATAGATGCTTGCTCCATTGTATTTTTTGGATCAGAGACAGAAGAATTCAAACAGGAGGATTTCAAGAGAGAAAAGATGTTAGCTATTTCCTGGCATGTGCCCTACAGGACTTATTGGGTTTTAAGTGGGACAAAGTGGATCTGCCTGTATTTATATGCATTGTATTGCCTGCCTTACAGCTGAACTATCAGCAAAAAGTAGGCATCATGTACTGCAAAGCCGGACAGAGCACTGAAGAAGAGATGTACAACAATGAATCAGCCGGCCCGGCCTTTGAGGAATTCCTTCAGCTACTGGGAGAACGAGTCCGGCTAAAGGGATTTGAGAAATACCGTGCACAGCTTGACACCAAAAGTAAGAAATACTTACACCCTCCTACTAGGCATATTTTTCTCCTGCTGAGTTAATGTGCATTTGCTAAATTATCTGTAAAACAACATTGCCATTTGTTGCAGAAAACTGCTGGCGGTAGGGGAAGAGAAGGCCAGAAAGGGGCAATATAGCACCAGAACCATTGAAGATCATTATCAAAGTAGCTAGAATTGGGCTGTAAAAAAATGTTATCATCCGTGTGGATGGAGGAGGGCAATGGACACAGATCATACAGAATTGCTGCTGTATAGCATTGTATAAATTTCATTGCATTTAGCTGAATGTCAGGGTAATGAAAAACTCCAGAAACTTACAGCCATCTGATTGAAAGCCCTCAAATTTTTGACTTTCATTAATTCATTTCATAATCTTCATGCTTATCTATGTAGTCAGCCTTTGTATGGTTTTCTTATTGATGTTTGCATTCTTTTAATACATAGGTTTTTTTGTTTGTTTCTATCATTATTGTTCATAGTTTAATTTAATCTCTAAGAACACAGGCTTTTTAGCTTTGGTATTAGTTTGGCTCATAAAATGTGCTGATTAAAAGCACAACAGTGAAATGGTCTGTTTAACTATGGTGCATGAACCTACAACGTTGTCCGCTGCCATCCCCCAAGTTGTTAATAAAATAGTTAAGTTCTCAAATATCTGTTTGAGTCAGAATACATTGACTTCTACTGCAGGTCTACATGGAGGCAGGTTTAAATTTTATCTCAGAATCTATCCATAGACACCTGTGACCTGTTTTTCTTTGACAGGGTCTTTGGATTAGCACATCTGTGTTGCAGTCTAGAGTAATCTCTCTGATTTTCTGTATAGGAAATTAAATAAGGAGTTGAGTCATGAAAACAGAAAAGCATTCATAAACTCCAGTGCAGGGAAGAATTTCCTGTTGCCATGGTTTTGCTGTTGCCAACTTGGAAACGACATGCAAGAGAGACTATTAAAACCCGTAAATAGCCTAGTCTCTTAAATATTATTTTAACATTCTATACTCTGCTTGCAACTACATAAAATGTTAAACCTCAATATGCCCTTAAACGTTTTTTAATCCAGATATTCTGATATTCACCCTGTATAATTCACTCATGTTGTCCCAGTTTGTTGTGCTGTATAAATTATCACCACAAAGAACTATTGAAAGAATCTGGGAAAAGAATGTGTAATAAGCCTCGTGATTCTATAAATGAATGGTCCAATTGGGACTTGATAAGATTATGTATTATTTCTGTGTATTTACATATTCCTGGCCACCTCTTGATGATGAAGGGCAATGTAAGAAATGTGTAGCTAGAGCATAGTTAAGCAATGTGGCGTCTAGTAAGGCAATGGAATAAGAAAAGTAAGCACTTTGTGCACAATTTGCTCCAATATCACAAGTACAAAGGCTAGAGGGGGATGAGCCTTGATTGCCAACTGCCTCCAACTGTAGTTTCAGAATTATGTAATACATTCAGCAGGGAAGGGTTCTTTTTCTCTGAGCTACTCTCCTTTAAGTAGTTCAACTTCCTGAAGCATATCTAACCTTTCAAGGCATAGCTCCTGAGAAGGATTCACAGACAAATGTCCTTTTCTGTCCTTTCAGGATGTCAGATTTCCTAAAATGAACAAAAAGTAGGAAAGTGTTTTCACTCTAAAGCCCCAAAGAAAGCAGCATGCAGAATTATCTCCTTTGCCCCAAGCTAAATGGGGCAAAAACTAGAGGAGTCCATGATTAGCCTTGTCATTTAAACCCATATTAAAAAAAATAACAGACCACCAAAATAGGCAAGAGCCAGCCCCTGCACACCCCAGCAGCCTCTAGCACAACCAGAGATAAGACTTTGCTCTGTGTGCTGTAGTGTAATCTTACCACATTTTATCCAACTTTATTTTGTGTCAGGAAACTTCCTTTCGGTATAACTCTTCCTTTAAAAAAAAATGTTTTCAAGAACAAATGTTTCTCAAGGATCATGCCCATTGTAGATGTCACTTGAATCTGTGGATCTGTAGTTCTCATCAAATTAAAGTACTATTTGCTATTATTTATTTATTTTTTCTGTCCCACCTCCCTTCTTTCTGAGTCTCCAATTACACATACTATATCACTCACTAGTGTACCACAGGTTAATGAGGCCTTGTTCATTGTTTTTTCCCAACCTTTTTTTTATTCCTCTGTGCTTCAGTTTGGATAATTTTTATTAATATGTCTTCAAGCTCATTGTGTTTTTATTTTCTTCCCTAGTGTCTTAATTCATTGTTAATTCAACCCAGTGAAATTTCTATTTAAGATACTGTATTTCGGCCAGGTGCGGTGGCTCACACCTGTAATCCTAGCACTCTGGGAGGCCAAGGCGGGAGGATCACTTGGGCTCAGGAGTTCGAGACCAGCCTGAGAAAGAGCGAGACCTCATCTCTACAAAAAATGGAAAAAATTAGCTGGGTGTGGTGGTGCACACCTGTAGTCCCAGCTACTCAGGAGACTGAGGCAGGAGGATTGCTTGAGCCCAGATGTTTTAGGTTGCTGTGAGCTAAGCTGATGCCACCACACTCTAGCCTGGGGGCCAGAGTGAGACTCTGTCTCAAAAAAAAAAAAACAAAAAAAAACTGTATTTCAAGGCCAGAAGTTGCATTTGATAATTTTTTTTATATCTTCCATTGTCTCCTCATTAGGTTCTTGCTGTCCTTTAAATCCTTAAACATGTTTATAATAGTTTTTGTAAAGTCTTCATCTGCCAATTCCATCATCTCTGTCATTTTGGGTTTCCCTGTTTCAATGAGTTTTCTCCTGCTTTGGGGTACATTTTATTGCTTCTGGTTATTTTGGATTAGATATTGGATATCGTGAATGTTTCATGGTTGAGTTTTGTTTGGAAAGGCAGTTAAGTTACTTACAGAACAGCTTGATTCTTATGAGTCCTGTCTTGTTTTTAAGCTTTGGTAAAGCATCCCCAGAGTAGCCTTTATTCTCTGTTTAATTTAGCCCTACTACGAAGGCATGACTTCTGTTGCCCCTGAATCCCTGCATATTCAACGAGGTATCTCCACTTAGGCTGGTCAGAACTCCAGTGTCTTCCAACCCTGTGTGAACTGTAGGAATTCTTTGGCTTACAATTCTCTGGAAATTGTTCTTTCCTTAACAGGTTTTCTTTGCTTGGTTTTTGGAATTTAATTCTGTACATGGGTAGCTTACTACTCATCCCAAAACTCAAGGGGACCCCTATTCAGATTTCTGAACCTCTTTCACTATAAGGTTTCCTTCTCTTTGGTATTCTTCCTGGCAAACATCAGCCACTCAGAATTCCTGAACTCCGGTCTGTCTCGTCTTCCACCTCCAAAGCCCTGCTCTGTGCTGTTGTCCCAGAAGTGCTCAAGATAGAAAGCTGAGGGGATCATAGGTCTCATCTCCTTTGATTCTGTTTTCTCAGAGATCACAGTCCAGTGCTGTCTAGCGTCCAATGTCTGAAAACAGTTCTTTCATGTATTTTGTTATTTACAGTGGCAAGATGGGTCCTGTATCAAGTAGTTTGTTATGGCTGAGAACAGAAGTCCCAGACACTTTTGATATATATGCCATCTCGTTTAATTCCCACAAACTCTGCTAGAAACCAGTTATCCCCATTTTACAGAATTGGTTTCTTTAAACTAACAAATATGCCCATGGTTAGACAGCTAGTACGCATCAGGGAAATAGAACGGATCCTAGTGGTGTGGTTAATGAAGTGTTCAGAGAAAGCATAAATGTAGAATTAAGCACAGTGAAGACACGAACCAAGCCTTTGCCTATGTCTTCCCCTCTGTCAAGTCTTGGGCCAACAATACCCAGACCATCTCATGAGATAGCTCCAGTTGTCATATATTATGTTTATATTCAGATTTTGGTACTTCTGCAAAGAAAAGAGAGGCCAAGGAAAGGAAGGATTGATGGAACTATTGAACCATTTCGCCTTTTTCCCCAATTATCTCTACAAAATCCATTTTCTCATCTCAGAAATAAAGACTTGTAGCAAACAAACAAGCTACAAATAAATATGTCATAGGCTGGAAAAATTCTGCAATGAAGAAATTTTCAGTAGGGGATTTTCTTTCCTCCTCTTTTTGTTTCCTTATTTGGATGACGTAACCACTAGATAATTACCATTCCCTCACACTACAATAAATACAAAAATAAACTTCCCACCAAGCAGTTTGTTATTCGAAAGCTGGAGACCACCCTCATTTTAAGCTGTGCACATGGATTATTATTTGGGAAATTATTTCCTGACCAAGGCTTGTCAGGTCAGTACCCAGGAGACTTAGAGGCCCTCTGGAAAGCATTCCTTCAAAGCCCTGCCCTCATTGGTTTGCTGCAGTATTCATGAATGCTTCTTACCGCCTCCGTTTTTCAGCAGTGTTACAAAGGCAATTGAGATTCAAGGTCTTACAGGAGATATAAGACTTCAGAAAGAAAATAAATCCTTCTTTATTTTGAATATCTAAACTTTGATATGGAAAGGGACAACCAGCACTGCTTAAGTGCTTTGCACATGCAAAGGGCTATTTGGAGTTCTACACACTGACAAATGAAGAAAAGGACTCTTTTTAAGGAAACTCTACACAGTTTACCTTAACGCACAAAATTCTAAATTCCAGCCAACATGCTTATTGAGCATCTTTTCTGAGGCTAGCACTTTCATACGTACTATTTCACTTAATCCTGACAACATTGATAGTATTGAAGAGAGAAGTGGAGTGACTTGTTTGTGTCATTTAGCAAGTGACACCATTGACATTCAGATTCAGATCTTCTTACTTTCAAGTTGGGAATCCAGGTAATTACTGGTATCTTGCAATGGGAACAGAAAGTAGAAATGGTAGCAGCTGACTCCTAAGTACCAGTCCCACACCATTTCTGTCCTTTTCTCCTGATACTTTAGCGATTTTGAGAAGCCTTGAACCTCAGGCGCATACCCATGCACAACCACACATTCCTTGAACTAACACAGCGTAAATTTGCCGGCCATAGCAAGGGTAGTACTACAGACTCTTTTTGATCCCATCCTCATTGAAGTAAAGCAACCTATCTCCTGACCATGGCTAAAGATACATTGATTTAAAAGATTAGCAAATACAATAGCTGTCAGAGCAAATAGAATTCTTGACTTCCCCCAATACTTCATTAGAAAATGAGTGAGATAGTGCCACCAGCCCTGAAGCCCGCCTCCTCTTGAATACCTGCCAGTGTTCCAGAAGTGACTGCTTGGCCCCTGCTGTGCTTCTGAGCATTGGCTTCTGCATCCCAGACCCTGGGGCAAGATTGACTAGATGTCAGATCTGTCTGTATCTGACTGCACCATGGAGGTCTCAAATGCATGGTCCCCAACAGCCAGCTGACTATTATAATATTTCAAACTATGGATAAGAATCAGACCCACAGCCTGTCTGTGATTTTATCTTGCATCTGATGGGTTTTATAGTTGTGAGGACGTTAAAAACCAAGCTTAAGCTTTCTTCATTCTATTTACTTTATTAGTCATATGCATTTAATTAATGAGATTACTTTTTCTTTGTGTTTATAAATATTTAAAACTAGGAACTTTCCAAAAATCAAATTACATAGGCTTGTTTTCCTTCATCTAGCTTTTCCTAACTCAAACTTATCTTTTAATGACCAGGAAGTAGTTATATGAAAATTTAATTACTTTTTCATGATTCAGATGCATGCCTTATCATCCAAGCTTCAAACTACCTCAGAGCAAAAGACTTGAGCCCAAAGAGAAGTCAAGGATGGTTATGACATTGGCTGTACCTGAAACTGCTCTACAAATTTACTAACCTGTTCATGTCATCTTCAAATAGAAATGCTTAATGTAGGATATTGTCACTAATCTATACTTTTTCAAAGCAGCTGAGAAGAATAGTCTTACCATTCCTCAGTGTCTTATTATCATCTAGTTTGAATATGAGAAGTTTTACTTTCTATGTGACTTAATTGTGGAGTACTGACCATAGTAGTGGATATATATGCCACTCGCTGATAGTGTAATTTGGAGATAGATCAAGCAATTGTCAAGGTGACCTATATAATGCCTGAATTTTTACTTTTTAAGTTCTAAAGCTCCTTACAAATACGAAGTAGCATTATCTTTTCATCCTTCTTTTGCAAGCACCTTGTCCCTTTAGAAATTGCTCTTTAACCAGATAAAAGAGTATTTTTTTCACTTTCCTAATTGTTATTTTCCTAATAGTCATTCTATTAAAACTTTCATGGTTTCAGGGTTTCATGGTCACTAGAAATGTAATAATAACATTGGATGCCTTATTCTTTAGAAATTATAACAAACATTCTTTTTCCATTCTCCCTGGTGAAGTTTAGCAACTCTATTATGTGCATAGGAATTTCAGGATTTTGGAATTCCTTTCTTCTCAGAAAGGAAAGTTTCATTGCTTTGGCTCTAGTTTCATCTCTGACACTTTTGAAACTGTTTTTAAGCTGCCGAAAATTATCAGCAAAACTCTGGGGTCTAAAGGTTCCCAGAAGAAGCAGCTCAAGGAGCCTACGTCGTCGCATGAAATGAGGCATGCAGAGGAAAGAGAGGGGGGCTGAGGCGAGAAAAACACAGTCTTCAGGGTTGCTTTCCATAGCATTTTCCTCCCTGGCAGTAATCCTTCTAGAATTAGACAGACGTACAAAGCAAAATGTAATAAATGAATGCCGGGTGACAACCTTTCTTTCTAGTTCATTAATTTTCCTTAAAATTGACTTGAAACACATGTAAGTATGTGTCAAAGCTGACACATTCACTTTAAAGTTTTAAAATGTAGTAATCCGTTCTACAGATATTTATAGCAAGGGTCCTTAACAATAGATAAGCTCTTTATGCTCAAGACCTGTCTCACATAGTCTAAATGAATATTATAATAATATGCAGGGTTTTTTTCTTTTTTTTGTGGTCATTAATGCTTAGAAGATATTTTTCTTGTTTAGTTATATGTTGGTTCATATTTTTGCAATTTTGAAAAGGCATCTTTGTTCTATATTTAGCCTGTTTTTTAAACCTTTGCATTTTATGTCACCTTCAAAATTAAGATCCTCCAAAAAGCTCAAGCTTGAGACTTGGGATTCTAGAACATCTTTAGAAAGCTGTCTGCAAGTGACAATTGTAGTTTATTCTTAGAGCAGTACCTAAGGGTAATGGAGCTACTGCATTAGAATTCCTGGGGAGTGTCTATTAAGAATAGATTCCTGGGCTTGGGCACAGTGGCTCACACTTGTGATCCTAGCACTTTGGGAGACTGAGGCGGAAGGATTGCTTGAGATTAGGAGTTTGAGACCAGCCTGAACAAGAGCAAGAGCAAGACCCCGTCTCTGCAAAAAAATAGAAAAATTAGCCAGGCCTGATGGTGTGTACTTGCAGTCCCAGCCACTTGGGAGGCTGAGGCAGGAGGATCACTTGAGCCCAGGAATTTGAGATTATGCTAAGCTATGATGACGCCACTGCACTCTAGCTGGGGCAACAGAGTAAGACCTGTCTCAAAAAAAAAAACAACAAAAAGGAATAGATCCTCTGGGAATCTGCCTATTAATCTAGTTTTCCAGCTGATGCTGTGCATACTAAATTTTGAGAACTGCTGCTTTTTGGTATATGCCAGAGGCTTTGTCTTACAGCACCATTCTCTAAAATGCAGTAAAGTGCTTTGATCCTCAAAAATGTGGTTGATGGAGGTTTGAGTTTACCAAGAGAAGAATGAAATGCACTTCTGTTCTTTTTGCAACCCATCAGTACAGGTCCTTCAAGTCTAAACAGATGTTCCCATTGAGTTGGGCAGTTAATAACTCTCTTCTCTGGCTTCCAGGTATTTGTGGGCGCATTGATTCTGAAACTTTGTTAATGATTAAGGCAGTAGAGAGGGATTTTCCTTAAAGAAGTTGAGAGCACAACATACCTAAGTCTGTAAAAAAAATTTTGGGGGCATTGCTATAATACCTTTGTTCTTTAGTGATAACAGTCTTGTTAAATTACCATCTATTTGTGAAGAACAGAACAATTCCCTTGCTGGAATTAGAAGTATTAGAAAAGGGGTTCTTACCATAATGTCTGTGGACAGAATTCAGGGGGTCTGTGAACTTGGATGGGAACTTTTATCTTTATTTTCACTGACCCCAAGTTGAAATTTAGCATCTCCTTCAATTATGAACATCAACAACAAACCACAGTAGTATAAGCTCTACCTCTGATTTTATTGCTTAATACAAAGCGCAGGTATTTCCATATCATATTTGTTATTGCAGATATCTTAAAATATTGTTTGTGCTCATCACTTCCTCAAGGTTATAGCAGATATTAGACCAATTGCTAAATCTTGTTATATAGATCTTGTGCATATCATTTTAAAGTTATTTGATAATTATATTTTCCAATATAATTGATTTCTTTTGAAATCTTAAGTATTTTATAGTTTGACAAATATTATTCTGAGAAGGGATCCAGTTCATAGGCTTCACTAGATTGCCAGAGAGGATCAGGTACCAAAGACTGGGTGAGAACACCTAGAGTGTTGCTGTCTAGAATCTTTTCATCCCAAATCATTGCCTTTTTTTTTCTTTTGAAATATTTCTCTTAAATGAATTATTTGTTCTATTCCTATAGTCATCTCGTCATTATATATATTTTTTTAACTGTAGCCGACTCCACTGGAACCCATTCTCTGTACACAACATACAAAGACTATGAAATTATGTTCCATGTTTCTACCATGCTGCCATACACACCTAACAACAAGCAACAGGTAAGAGATCCTCATGTTATTTGTGTTTTCACCCTTGTTTCATTTTCCCCAGAAGCCTAAGTGGCAAATTTGTAAAATCTTAAACCAGAATTTCCTGTTGCACCTGTCACAGCAGCAGGAAGCTTTGTGCTTTGTGGAAGTAAGGAATAGCAAATGAGCTGAAAACAAATGAAGAGACACAAATTCTAGGTTAACAGCCAGCTGGATGGCTTTGTGAATTAATCATTTGCTTTTCGCCCACGGGGATTGAGATTTTCATGAAATCTGAAGAGAACAAGTTGAAGTCATTGGTGATTAGATGACTCTGCAGGGTTGCGAAGAACACAGACGGGTGGGTGCAGTTTCATCTCAAGAGGCCAGTGCACAAAGTGGGAAAGTAGTGATGTTTCCTTTTAGACTTCAAAGGAGATTTAGTATACTAACTTCGAGAAAAGTCAAAATAAATGTCAACAGAATCTGAGAATAATATTCTTTCATAACATGTTTATCAGGAGATAGCAGGGAACATAGATAACGATTGCATGTGCATACAGCATACATAGAGTTCCTCTTAAGATGGTCTAAAAGCTCAATGCCTATTTACTAAAATGTGAGATAGTTAAAACGTGGAAACTAAGAAGTGACAGATTGTTCCAGAGCAAAATGGAAACTGCTAGTATTGTTTTAGAGAATATGCAGGTGTTGTTATTAAAAAATATTTCAAAATAAATAATACGAAACTGAAATTTTGAAGAACCGGAGAGCTAACAAACTCTCCTTTCGATATCAGTGCAGTTTTACCTTTGATCTTAAAATGGATATAGATTTTTGTTATCGTCAGTTGTCCCGACAGTGAGCAGGCCAGCTGCAGAACAAATCACATCCTCTTGCACAGAATTTAACCAAATGCTGATCTAACTTTATCAATTTAGGTTTGATTAAATCACAAATCTAGGTAACAAAAGTTTCATGATCTCTAAAGTCATCAAAAACAGGAAGCAAAGCAATGAATCAGCTTTAAATCTGAAATAAACCTATTTTAAGATAAACTCCCTGATTCATGCTTTGTTGACAATTTGTTTTATGCAAAATTCCAAGTTCTACATCTCTTGGAGAGGAAAACATCATGCTACGGAATATATACTAGACTTCTGGGCGTGGTAGCATGGTGGCTCACATTTGTAATCCCAATACTTTGGGAGGCCAGAGTGGTAAGATCATTTGAGGCCAAGAGTCCAAGGCCAGCCCGGGCAGCATAGTGAGACCTTGTCTCTACAAAAATTAAAAAATTAGCCCGGTGTAGTGGCACACACCTGTAGTCCCAGCTACTCGGGAGGCTGAGGCAAGAGGATCACTTGAGCCCAGGAGTTTGAGGTTGCAGTGAGCTAAAATAATGCCACTGCACTCTAGCCCAGTAACAGAGTGAAACCCTATATCATAAAAAAGAAAGATATACTAGATTTCTTATTCTGACCAGTCAATAGACAAAAAATTTCAGAGCATTAACAAATGATCTTTAAAGGTGAGATAAAGGCTTTTTCTGCCTGATCACTCAGAAGAGAAAGATGAGATTTATGAGGGTAAAAAATTTAGTAACAAGATTTAATTAATTGTTTATTTCTAACTAAATGAGTTAAAGTGCTAGGCAGAAAGACTTGACATTTAAATGGACAGCTATCTAAATTATTTAATTTTGGGTCTAATCAAGGCAAAAGTGTTATGATCTCATCAGAATGAGAAAGTGATTGGCACTGCTACATATGAAGACGTTTTCATTCTCTAGCTAAAAATTTATTTACTTCTACAGAGATTGCCTTATGCTTGAAAAAAACAGAACATATCTTTTTTCCATGCATTTTTTAAGTACCATTTTTCATTACATATAGTGTGAGATGGATAAATGGATTTGTTTCTATTTGAGTTCTTTATTAAGACATTTATTTTTAGATTTCAAGCCATATTTTTAAGAAAGAATGACATTGCAGAAAAGGACAGTATCAACAAAAAAAGATAAAAATAAAAAAAAAGACAATGACATCATCTACGCAGGAAGGGCATAATACGTGGATAAATAGTATTCGATTTTGTATGTCCAAGATCTTGAGTAGATTAATCTTTAATTATTATAGTCTATGTAGCAATCAATAGAGACCAGCCTTTATTTTCATAACATTGGATTATATATCATGTTTAGAAATGAAGTGTAAACTGCTTCATTAGAAGACAATTAGAGGTGCTTTCAGATTCCAAAGGTTAAAAATACATTTCCTGAATGTTCTAACTCCCAATTCTCAACCCTAATCTAAAAGGCTATTGTTTCGCCTAGCTGGCAGCCAATACTAGATCATTGATTTTACTGGTATGTAATTTGTGTGCTCTAATGTCACTAGAGAATTTTAAAAAAAACAAAAAGTTTTAT